TTTTTTTTTCCTGGAGACTTATCTTTATATCTTTCTGAAACCATATTCCTCCGGACGATGTTGGGTCTCCTATTGATAAGGATTTTTAATGCTGTAATACTTGTTTGATTCGCTTTCTCATTTATTCTCAGCTATGACTTAACAGAACGTTCTTTTATTTGATATCACTGCAGCAAACCTTTCAGAGGTATCCTCGACCTGAAAAGGAATATCAGTCATTTTCTCTTATGTATAATGATAGGTCTTTAGATTTGGTAAGCATCTTCTTGTTGATGATTTCTGCTGTATTTGATTCTTGGATATTCTATTTTCTATGCTCAAGTAGTCTTCCTCTTTATATTAAACTGTTATATGATAAATTATGTTTTGCTTTCGCGACTTTCATTTCTCGTCAATATATTTCTTTCTGTACATTTAACTTTTCTATGTATAACTTCGGTGTCTACCACACCCTCTATGCTCTTCCATAACTTTCATTTACTTATTGCTTACGCCAGATATGCAAGGATAAAGATGAAGCTGAAGTTTGGTTTACTGGTCTAAAAGCGTTAATATCACGTGGCCTTCATCAGAAGGGGAGAGCAGAATCAAGAAGTGGAGTTACATCTGAAGCAAATAGTCCAAGATCACATACCCAAAGAAGTTCTCCTTTGAGCTCTCCATTTTGTAGTGGTGATAGTTCGCAGAAGGTGTTCTATTTTTGCCTCTCTTGTTAATTCCATGTGTAAAACTGTAATATACAAGTAAATAGTCTTCTTATAACTGATGCAGGATGGTGTGGAACCTTTTCATCTTCAAGCTACATTTGAAAGCCCTCCAAAAGTTGGTTTGGAGAAGGCTTTATCAGATGTCATGTTATATGCCCTGCCTCCCAAAATTCCATTTCCTTCAGACGCTGCATGTGGCTCGGTCCAGTCTCTGTCATCAGGAGGTTCAGATGGAATGAATGGACGAATAAAGGGTGCAGGTGTGGATGCTTTTAGAGTAAGTTTATCAAGTGCTGTTAGCTCATCAAGTCAAGGCTCTGGTCATGATGATGGTGATGCTTTAGGGGATGTTTTCATTTGGGGGGAAGGCATTGGTGATTGCTTTCTGGGTGGAGGATCACATAGAGTTGGAAGTTCTTCTAGTTGTAAGATGGACTCTTCTGTGCCTAAAGTCTTGGAATCTGCTGTAGTACTTGATGTTCAAAGTATAGCTTGTGGTGGACGACATGCTGCTTTCGTAACCAAGCAAGGAGAGGTATTTTCTTGGGGCGAAGAGTTAGGAGGCAGACTTGGACATGGTGTGGATGCTGATGTTTCGCATCCGAAGCTCATAGATGCTCTTAAAAATATCAATGTTGAATTTTTAGCATGCGGGGAATACCACTCTTGTGCTGTAACACTTTCCGGTGACATGTACACATGGGGTGGCAGTACTTGCAATTTCTCGCTCCTTGGCCATGGGTTTCAATCAAGTCAATGGGTCCCGAGAAAGCTAAATGGACCTTTAGAGGGGATTCATGTCTCATCGGTTTCTTGTGGACCATGGCACACAGCTGTTGTGACCTCTGCTGGCCAATTGTTTACTTTTGGAGATGGAACTTTTGGTGTTCTAGGTCATGGGGATCGAAAGAGTATTCCGGTACCCAGGGAGGTTGAGTCCCTTAAGGGTCTCCGCACTGTGCGAGTAGCTTGTGGTGTTTGGCACACTCGGGGATCGAAAGAGTATTCCGGTACCCAGGGAGGTTGAGTCCCTTAAAGGTCTCCGCACTGTGCGAGTAGCTTGTGGTGTTTGGCACACTGCAGCAGTGATTGAAGTTATGATGGGGTCATCAAGTTCCAGCAACTGTTCTTCTGGAAAGCTTTTTACATGGGGAGATGGAGATAAAGGTCGACTTGGACATGGTGATAAGGAAGCAAGACTTGTGCCCACTTGTGTTGCTGCTTTGGTTGAACCCAACTTCTGTAAAGTTGCTTGCGGACAAAGTCTGACTGTTGCACTTACAACTACGGGCCATGTTTACACAATGGGAAGCCCTGTTTTTGGTCAACTAGGGGTCCCTCAAGCTGATGGGAAACTTCCATGCCGTGTTGAGGGAAAGCTAATGAAGAGTTTTGTTGAAGAAATTGCTTGTGGTGCTTATCATGTTGCAGTTTTAACTTCAAGAACTGAAGTTTACACTTGGGGAAAGGGTGCAAATGGTCGATTAGGTCTTGGGGATACAGAAGATAAATTTTCACCAACATTAGTTGAAGCTTTGAAAGACAAACAAGTCAAGAGTATTGTTTGTGGCACTAACTTTACAGCAGCTATCTGTCTGCATAAATGGGTCTCCGGTATTGATCAATCGATGTGTTCTGGCTGTCGCCTTCCATTTAATTTTAAAAGAAAAAGACACAATTGTTATAATTGTGGACTTGTGTTATGCCATTCATGCAGCAGCAAAAAGTGTCTCAAGGCTTCCATGGCACCAAACCCAAACAAACCTTATCGTGTCTGTGACAACTGTTTTAGCAAACTTAGGAAGGCAACCGAAACCAACTCTTCATCTGGACCTGCTTTTAGTAGAAGAGGAAGTATGAATCAGGGATTCAATGAACTAATTGAAAACAATGTTAAGGAAATGGAAAGTGGATCTTCCAAAAGAAACAAGAAACTGGATTTTAGCAGCAATTGCGTTACTCCCATTCCAAATGGAGTTTCTGAGCGCCGTGCAGTCAATACAACTAAATCTTTCAACCCAATGTTTGGATCATCCAAAAAGTTTTTCTCAGCTTCGCTTCCTGGATCCAGAATTGCATCCCGAGCAACATCACCAACATCAAGACGATCTAGTCCACCTCGTGCAACAACCCCAACCCCAGCTCTTTCAGGGCTTACTTTGCCAAAAGTTGTGGATGATGCTAAAAGGACAAATGACAGTCTGAGTGAAGAAGTTCTTAAATTAAGAGCTCAGGTATATTGATTGTTTTTTGTTTGTTTTTTATTTAATGTCAATTTGTGTGGAAAGTTGCTTCTGCTGTTCAGTATATAGCTATCCATGTTGGTAAAAAGGAGAATAATAAATTCACTTTGTCCAGAGGATAACTTGTCCAGCGGTTTAAGTAACAATTTAATGTTGTTTGCAACTCCTGAGGTGATAACTAACTGTCTTTATTACTAATTGTAGTGGGTCTGTTAAAAAAAAGAAAAAAGGTTGTAGTACTAGTGGGTAATAACTTTGATGCTTATAGTTATATAACAAGTTTTTGGGCTATGAAAAGCAACAAAGTATCTCAACTATCTTTTCTTGTTTTCTTACAGTTGTTTCTTTCATGCTAACTTACCATGGAGATTAGGTTTCTAGAGTTCATATTTCTGGTAGAACGGAGTCTATGCAAGTTTACAATTTCCACACCATCTGTGCTTTTTATTGTGTT